GGCACCATGAGTCCTCACTCTGGTCAGAGGGCCTGGCAACCCAGCCCCCAGCCTTCAAGCCCTCCTGGCCTGAGGGTGGGGCCTTACTGAAGACCTTGCCCCCTTCCGCCCAGAATTCTGTCTGCTTCCTGCTGCCGTTCATGGCCCAAAGGCTTGACTCCAACCCCACTCTAATGAGGGGGCGGAAAGAGGCCAGGCAGTGGGAGTGGAAATCGCTGAGCCTGCAGGGACGGGAATGTGGGGTGTTCTTCCCGGGGTGCCTAAGGGTGCAGGCTGCAGAGATGCCCTGGTCCTGCACGCCTGGGAAGGTGACTGCAGCTGCTCCGGGGAGCTCCTTGCCCGCCAACTGGGAAGGGTCAGGGCTCCCGCTTGTCCCTGGCTCCTGCGTGCTACTTCCTGGAGCAGTAGGCCCAGGTCTGCAGGCGCGGTGTGGCGGGTGCAGCTGTACCCGGGAAGGCAGATCCTGTGCGTTTCTGGCTCCCGCAGGAGCACAGGAAGGCTCGGATACACAGCTGCAATTTGGGTGGGTGTATCCGAGGGCGGGGCTCTTGCTTTCTCCATACAGCAGGAGGCTTGGGTCTGCAGCCTTGGTTTGGGCGGCTGCAGCGGCCCAGAAGCTCCTGTCCCAACCCAAAACGGGTGGGACTCCCACTTGCTCCATGGAGTGTGCAGCCCCAGCTGTGCTTCCCGGCTGCAGCAGGCACGATGGCGGCAGCAAGTGCCATCAGTATGATGCATAGGAAGGTTCAAGTATTTTGAAATGTTTTATATCTTACACTGCTGGGGAGTACATGATTGTTCGTTATATTATTATTATTATATATATATTTTTTGAGAAGGAGTTTCGCTCTTATTACCCAGGCTGGAGTGCAATGGCGCGATCTCGGCTCACCGCAACCTCCGCCTCCTGGGTTCAGGCAATTCTCCTGCCTCAGCTTCCTGAGTAGCTGGGATTACAGGCACGAGCCACCATGCCCAGCTAATTTTTTTGTATTTTTAGTAGAGACGGGGTTTCACCAAGTTGACCAGGATGGTCTCGATCTCTTGACCTCGTGATCCACCTGCCTCGGCCTCCCGAAGTGCTGGAATTACAGGCTTGAGCCACCGCGCCCGGCCTCGTTATATTATTTTGAAATATTTAAAAACACATTAAAATAATCATAAAGTGTCACATAGCAGAGAAGAAGCTGTTAATTGTGAATGGAAGTAGTAACTAAAGTAAGCTTTCTGGATGAGTTGGTCTTAATGGTTACATTGGTGTTGATGGATGGGTGGAAATTCAGCAAGTCTGGGTGGCAGGAAAGGAGATTGTGGGCCGGTGGACCGGCATGAGCAAAGGTGTGGGGTTGTTCTGGTAAGGAGCTAGGATGCATAGAAATATATTAATATAAACTTCAATAAAGGAGGTTGATAAGGTTACTGGGACAAGACCATGAAAGACTTTCAACCCAGCAGAAATACAATATAATTACTAAGTTTTGTGAATAGGAGCTTGCAGTCAGGTCTGGGCTATAACTTTATGTAAATATATATATATATATATATATATATATATATTTACATAATTCCAAAGGGTTGATAGTTTCTTCAACCGGGATGTTATCTGAATCCGACCAGTTTAGATTTATACTGCTCTTCCAATAAAAATAAAAATCACAATTCATAAGTCGTCTACAAAATCTATTAGAAGAATTGATCGTCAGGCTCATGATCAGTAATAAATACTGAGATCTCTCACTAGTAGCTTTAAAGAGTCATTTAAAGTTTTTTCTTATGACTATCCATCAATTTTCCTACCTGGTCATGTCAAGTGAAATTTCAAATAGAAAACATTGCCCTGAGAAGGGACAGAAATGCTGGGTTTTGTTTTGTTTTGTTTTGTTTTGTTTTGTTTTGTTTTTAAACTAAAGCTTATTAAATTTGCCAGAACTGCTGTTTTACATGAACATCATTTGGTCACCAGCAGGTATCTTTCATTGGCTTCATATGGCAGAGTCTGAAGAATATGGGTTGATCGATGTGTCATTCATCAGAGACACCTGCAGAGATGATGAAAGTTTATCGTACAATATCATGGAAGGAAACACAACATTTAGCAAATTGAACCACTCATCTCCTCCTCCCCCCTTTTTTAAACATTAAAACTGCAGTTTGAAAAACAACTTCCAATGTGAAAAAAAATTAAAACAGCAGGTGATAATTAGGGCAAAGTTACAACAATGTTATTGCTGATGGGCTACCTGTCAGTTAATGCAAGTTATCACTTCACCCCAGGAATAGTTATTATTAAAACAACTTATGGAGGTTAAAGAAGGGATGTTAAATGTGTTAGTCTCCTTATTTGCTCGCTTGGAAATGGCTTAGAGATAGCTCTGTTAACCACCTCAGTTCTACTCTGGTCTCAGCACACGCATGCACACAAAATAACTGAAGTTATAAACGACCAAAACATAAACCTTAGCTGCCTTGAGTTAAAATCAATTTTCCTAATAAATTAAATTCAAATATTACAAACCAGTATGTAATATCAAGAATGATGTGCTAATAATTACCATGTTGGCAGAGTGCAAAGTGCAAGACAGAGGGATATAAAAATTTAGCAATTTAGAAAGTCTGATATAAAAATAGCTTTTACTAGTGTGAGGCTGAGTTCAGTTCAATCACTGAGTTATAATGGTATTCTCTGACTAGTCAAGGTTGAATGTTGAAGATGTAGTTTGAGTATTAATCATCGATTTAAATAAAAGCCAGCACAACTGAAGAGGCTCTCCTGAGTTAAGTGGTTTATTCCTGAACACAGATGTAAGTTTTTCCTTTTGTGTTTTCCAGAACCACTTGAGTGTTTTCTCTACTATACAAGCAACTTCTTTTGGAATTATTTCTTTAGCTTTACTCTTTATCAACTACAATCTTTTTGGTCAAAGAATTCACCTAAGCTTTTCCTGCTATGAATTATGAGTTCATTCCTACTGACCATTTCAAGTTTAAGCTTTAACTTTCATGCTATCCAGTAAGAGATCTGACAATATGCTATGCTTCATCTTGGTTTACTATATGGTATTCCATTGTATTGTAGGACTCCATTTATATGAAGTACAAAAAATCAGACAAGTTGTTTATGCTATTAAAAGTCAGGATAGTGGTTACCCTTGATAGAGACGTGATGACTAAGAGTGGGCACAAGTTTGGCCTATAGTACTGTATGAATAAACCACATCTTTTTTTAAAATTTACTTTAAGTTCTAGGATACATGTGTAGAATGTGCAGGTTTGTTACATAGGTAAACATGTGCCATGGTGGTTTGCTGCACTTATCAACCTTTCGTCTAGGTTTTAAGCCTTGCATGCATTAGGCATTTGTCCTGATGCTCTCTCCCACCTTCCCCACAACCCCTTGACAGGCCCTGGTGTGTGATGTTCCCTTCCCTGTGTCCCTGTGTTCTTATTGTTAAATTCCCACTTATAAGTGAGAACATGTGGTGTCTGGTTTTCTATTCCTGTGTTGGTTTGCTGAGAATGATGGCTTCCAGCTTCATTTATGTCCCAAATAAACCACATCTTATTTATTTATTTTACTATTGATAAGCATTGGGTAGTGTCATTAATACAAAAAAAAAGTATTACATAGGTACTCATATATACACAAGCAATACCCTAAGGCATTTATATATACACAGCATTTTAAAGCTTTTTATTGAAGTATAATTGACATACACAGAGATGCATGTATCAATAGTGCAGCTCAATGAATTTTCACAAACTGAACACACGAGTACCCAGCTCAAGAAACAACATGATAATCTTCCCAGAAGCCATATTGGTGTTCTCTCCTAGATATCAGCTCTCTCTCAAGGTAACCACTATCCTGACTTTGAATAGCATCAGTGACTTTTGTCTGTTTCTGTACTTTATATAAATGGACTCCTGCAATTGTACGTCTCCCTTCTTTCACTTAGCTTATTTGTGAGGTTCATATATTTTACAGCATTTGGAAGCACACCGTTCATTCTTAGTGTTGTAGAGTGTATTCTGTTGTATGAATGCACCACCAATTATTTATCTCTTTTACTGTTTATGACCATTTGGGTTGTTTCCCGTTTGAGGGTTACTAGGAATAGGGTTGCTCTGAGTGATTTAAGTCTTTTGGTATACATTTGGCAATGGTATATTCCTAAGCGTGGAAGTGCTGGGCCATAGGGTTTTCATATGTTTAACAGATATTGCCAAACAGCTTTCCAAAGTGGTTGTACAATACACGTAGCATTTGATTTCTTGAGGAATCAGTCTAAGAAGGGCATTTCAGCATAACCATTAAGATAAAGGTTTTGGAGTCATTCAGATCAAATTTAGCTTATGACTAAGCAGTGGAGGCACCTTGGACAATATGCTTCACTTTAAGCCTCAGTTTACTCAACTGTAAAACAGGTATAATAAAATCATTCTCAAACTTTATGAGAATTAAATAAAATATTATTTTAATGCAGTTAGAACAGTGCCTGAAACATAATAAATGCTTAGCTTATTTATGGCAGTTATTAATCACTGGCAATTAAAACAGGCAAAATGGAGAATTAGAAACAAATATGGGCAATATAATCCAAAAACAATTTTAATTGTATGATGGAAGAAATCTATGAAACTCTGACCCAAAAGGCATTGCTAATTCCAGGGAGGATTACACTTGGACCCTGAACATTATCCCAAAATGCGTTTGCAAATTATGCTCGCCAGAGGCAAGGTTCTTGGATGCAGTGTATTACCATTCATTTTTTTCCTACCAGTTATTACTCTTTAAAGACAGGACTGCCAAAGGCTACTCTAGAAAGTCACTAATATAATACCTTTTATTAAATTTCCCAATTTCACACCTCCCTCAACCCAGTCCCCAAAGTTGTTGAAAAGTGACTGTAATTACTCTATTAATTCCTAGCTTTCCTGGAATCTTATCTAAGACAACATTCACATCCCCCCAAACCCTAAAAATGAGCCCAGATTTTTGCTTTAAATTGCAAAGAACTTGTTTCATTTTGTAGGATGAGACTGATAACCTCAGCGTGGATTTCAGCAGCTGCCGGAAACAGCACTCAAGAAGTTAACGCAGGTACGCTCCGTTCTGAGGCACTGTTTCAGCTAACTGCTCCAGAGACAGCAGGCTCAGTCCTCTTAGGTAAGTAATTTTGGAAGGTGGCACTGTGTTCCTAATAAATTGAATCAGATCCCATAGGTTAGTCACTATTATTAATAAAGCACGAAATCAACTTGCAGTCATCTGTTGAGAAGGCCATGTTAGACCTGAAAAGGAACATTTTGAACATTTAATTGAAGCTCTTTGATTTACAGATGAAAAAACTAGTTATTTAAAAGTCTTGCCTAAGGTCAAATGGTTTGTTTCCTGGACCGGCATAAACCTTATCTTGGTCACAGTCCGGTGGTTGTTTCTTTCTGCTACCGTCCCCCAACCCCACCCCCGTCTCCCCATCAGATTTCGTAAGGATCCAGACCTGTGATTCAGAAATGGGGGAGCTGAAGGAGTGTGACCTAAAACAAGAGAATGACAAACTATTAAATTGTTATTAGGAATTATAAGACAAGTGAGGCTTGCCTGCTAGAACGTTAAGATCTAAGAAGCAGTATCTTTTCTGTTTTGTACGTCGCTGTATTCCGAGTACCTACAACTGTGCCTGCTAAGCCTGGTAAGGCCTAATAATTGTTAAATGAAAAACAATAAATCAATCAGTCAATCAGATGTGTCAGATTGTGAGAGAAAACACGTCCTTACTGTTTGCTCTATTATTCTCCTTCCCGTAATAGTAATAAAATGTGCAGATTTGTATTTTAAAGAGGTGAAATCATACGCACAGCGTTCTAGCACAGTGCCTGGCCCATTGTGAGTAATTAATACATGTCAGTTTATTTTCCTTTTTTTCCCTCCACGAGCTTGGGCTACTAGGAAGGAGAGACAGTGCCGTGGTGTTTAAGTGCCGGGACAGAAAGTGAAGAGTATCCTAGAGGCTGCTGAGAGCGGGCCGTCGGTGTCTTTCTAACCCGTACAGATCAATTCTAGTGCCCTGAAAAACGCACAGCTATTTTACCCAGAGAGGCTGGTCGCTTTTGTTGATCGATTCTGGGCTGCAGTCAGCTTTTTAATACAACTTTTTATGAGCATCAGCTACATTGCGGCGGGAAGAAGGGGCTGTGGTGGAAAAACTTGGGAACCCCCCCCAAAATAAAGGAAGCCCGCGGGGCAGGGGCTGCGGTTTTCGGGTCTAACGGGTCCTCGAGCTGGGGCGGCGGTCCCGGCCCCTCCAGCCCCGCCCCTCGCCCGCGGCCGCCGCCGAGGTTCAAGTTCGGCCCCCAGCTGCTAGGCCTCGCGCTCCCGGATCCGAAGCCGCCCGTGCGTCCCAAGGTCCCCCGCTGGAAGACGAGGCGGAAATCCCAGGGGTCATCCGGGCGCGGGGTCACTCGGCCACGCACTGCGGCGCCACGTGGGGGAAAAGTTTCCAACTCTGCCTGTTGGTGCTCCCACTGCGCCCCGGCGGAGCAAAGGCCCGCGCTTTGGCACCCGCTCCCAGTTCTGTTGCCTCCAGTCGCGCCCCACTCCCAGGGACGCCCCCCTTGTGCCCCTTCTCTGAACACCCTCCCACGCAGCGCAGGTCGCCAGGGGAAAACACCCTTGGGGGCTGGGGGTTTCCCGAGAAGGCGGCCTCTGGTCGGCCGAGGGTAGGGGATCCAGGGGCAAGTGTCCCGAGGAGGAGGTGGGGGGCGCGCGCGGAATGGCCCGGGAGCAGGGGCCCGCACGCGTCCCCGCTGAGACAGGCCGGATCCTCCGGCGGCTTCCACGCCCTCGCGCGCCAGCTGTGCCCGGCGTCGCCGACCCCACGCGGGCGGCCCCCTCCACGCCCCCGCCCCCGCCCCCCTCGCGGCTCCCCCACCGCCCCCAGTGCGCAGGCCCGGCCGCCCCAGCGCGCATGCCCTGGGCTCGCGAGCGCGGCCAGCCCCCAGCCTTTTGCTTTCTACACACTCTACAACTGGGGAGGGGGCGGGGGAGGAGGGAGCCCAGCCGTCCACGTGATCCCGCCGGCCGGGGCCGCGGGGGCGGGAGCGCGCGCAGAGCGAGGCGCGGGGAGGGCGGGGGCGCGGGAGCGCGCGCACACGAGCGGACGAACGCACGAGCAGGCTGGCGGGCGCGGGGCTGGGCTGAGGCGGGCGGCGGCGGTGGGCCGGCCGCGGAGGGGGAGGAGCGGGAGCTGCGCGAGGCTGGCGGGCGGGCGGAGGATGGGGCAGTGCCCGGGCTCCCGCTGCAGCCGCCCGGGGACACGCCGTGCACCCTCCGGCTCGGGGCTTTCGCGGCGGCGGCGGCGGCAGCGTTAGCGGCGTTCCCGGCTGCGCTTCTCCTCAGGCGCGGCGGCGGCGGCGGCACCCCGGCGTCTCTCCCGCCGGAGGTTTCTCTCTGCTTTCCTGGTCGACTGACTGGCTCGCCCCCTCCCTTTTTTGAGGAAGGGTGACCTCTTCTCTGGGACTGGAAAACCTATTTTTGTGAGGAGCGGGGCGGGCGGCGGCGGCCGGGCTGGCTTCTTCTCCGCTCTCCCCTCCGTCTCCCCCCGCGGGGACCGGCAGGCGAACCCCACAACCGCTCCGGCAGCATCCTCCCCGCCGCCCCCGCCTCCCCTCCGCCGCCGCTCGCAGCGGCGCCCTCGCCTCCGCTAATGACTGCGTTATTATGCTCCCCTCTCTGGGGAGTCTCGCCCCCCTCGGGTCGCTCCGGAGCCCCGGCCTCCCCGGGCTGCATTTCTTAAAAATGTGGGAGCCCGGGAGTGAGTTTCCTCCGAGGCGTGCGTGAGAGGCGGCGGGGGCGTTTTCCTGCGCGAGGGGCGGGTGAAGTTCATTGCCCCCACTTTTCCCGCGACCTTTTTCGGACCCGATTTTGGATCGGGTGGCGGGGGGCGCCGGCGTTTTCGGGGGGCAGGGGGCGCGGCGGAGAATGGCCGCGGGGAGGGCTCCCCGGAGCCTCCCAGTCTCTTGATCAAAGCATTCCGCTATTCTGATTTATTGCCTGCTCGGTGAGTTATTTTTTTTCCTCTAAAGGAGACCTGTGTGTTCAGCCATTACTTTGCTCGGCGCTGCTCCCAGGCATCTCCGACCCTCGGTGCCGTGGGGAGCCCCGCGCTCGGGCTCCTCGCGCTCGCCCTCGCTCCCCGTCCCTCCTCCCCTCTCTCCGCCCCTTCCCCCTTTTCTTTCTCCTCTCTTTCTTCCCCTCTCTCCCTTCTTTCGGCCGCCGTCTCCCCCGCGCCCTCCTCGGGGCGGAGGGAAGCCGTGAAGGGGGAGGGAGGGCTCCGTGTCAATTTTTTGTGTGTGTGGCCGCGGCCGTAGCCTGTGGCGGGCGAGCGGGGAGACCCCGGCGCGGCAGAGCCATGGACGGCCCGACGCGGGGCCATGGACTCCGCAAAAAGCGGCGGTCGCGGTCGCAGCGAGACCGGGAGAGGCGCTCCCGGGGCGGGCTGGGGGCCGGCGCGGCCGGCGGCGGCGGGGCTGGCCGGACCCGGGCGCTCTCGCTCGCCTCGTCGTCGGGCTCCGACAAGGAAGACAATGGGAAGCCCCCGTCCTCCGCCCCGTCCCGGCCCAGACCCCCGCGGAGGAAGCGGAGAGAGTCCACCTCGGCCGAAGAGGACATCATTGATGGATTTGCCATGACCAGCTTTGTCACTTTTGAAGCGCTGGAGGTAAGGGGGACCCCCCTCCCCCCGGGTTCCCTTTATGCCCGACCCCACTCGGCTGCGCCCGGCTCTCCTGCCTCCCCCGCCGCGCTCGGGGCTGTCTGTCGGTCTGTCTGGGCTGAGGTCTTATTGTTGGTGGGGGGAGCTGGGGGCGCGGGCGGACAGGCAGCAGGAGGGAGTCGCAAAGCCGTGCCTGGTCTCCTCGTCTCCTCGTTTCCTCGCTCGCCTTTCCCCTGCGCCCCCTCCCTGCACCCCCTCCACAGCAGATGGGCAGAAAGAAAGGGGTTCAGGCATCACAACAATGCGCCCCCTCTCCACGGAGAGCTCTGCCCCCTCTCCTTCCTCCTCTCCCTCCCCAATCATGGCTTCTTGGCTGCTGGAAGTCTCTCTGCTGGGTTTGGGGCGCCTGTGGACGGTTCTCTGTGTGCTTTCTACAGAGTCATATGTTCGTGTATGTGTGTCTGTATAGTATATACCTTTCCCTGGTGTCCTCGGGACCGGAGACTGATGGGGTTTTATGGTTTCTTTGCGCCTCCCCCCACTACCCCCTCGGATTTTTTTTTTTTTTTTTTTTTTTTTTTTTTTGGTGAAGCTGGGGAAGGGGGCGTTTTCTCCTGGTTGGGAGAAAGGTGGGAGGAGGGGAGAGAGAGAAGAGGGAAGGATGGAATATCTCTCTGTATTCTTTATAGGGCTCTGTTACCGAAAGGGTTAATTATATTATCTATACACATACATAGGCACATGTGTGTGTGTGCATGAGCAATTTAGTTAAAGGACAGAAAAAGGTACACAAGGAGGACTGGTGGGAGGAAAGAATAAAATCCTAGCTGCTCTCTGAAGGGCTTGTCACCAATTGTCCCTCTCCCTTTCCTTTAAGTGTTTTCTTTTTTTTTCTTTCTAAGTGATTGGCTTTGTTTGTGTCTGTGTGTGTGTGTGTGTCTTTCTTCATTCCTTGAGCACCTGCAGTGTTGATTTCCAAACCCACATTTTCCTCCCGGCTAACTGGCTCCTAGGGTGGGGGGAAAGGGAAAAGGGAGGGAGAGGGAGACTTTCCAGGGGTTAGGAGGAAACTATCTTTGCCTGGACGGATCTCCTTTGGTGTGGTATTGGTCATTGGCCTCTATCAATTTAACCGCCTTCTTTCCTCCCTCTGCCTCCCTGTCCCCACCCCCCACACACCATGGGCATGCACAGAAGGCTTTGAGATTCTGCAGAGTTGGTCCACCTTTCTTAAGCACAAAACCAAAATGCAGTTTATAGTTGGCTTATAGTGTTTCATGCACCTGATGTGATGGTTTGAGGCTCCTCTAGGAGTTTTCCCTTTCCATTTTTTTTCTTCTTCTTTTTTTTTTTTTGCTGATAATTATTATGGTATTGTTTCAGATGTTCAGATGCAAACTTTGTTAATGACAGCTTAAATCTCACATACAGTAACTATACACAGGTTTAGACTGCTGGTTCTGTTTATGTGTTTGGGTGTCAGGTTTAAATATTTTTTTCAAAGGAAGGCTTCCTGTCAGTGTTGTCCTTTTCTGTTTGAACTGCTTTTGGTTGGGTGGATGGTGGTGATGGTGGTGGATGGTGGCCAGTGGTTGGGAGTAAGGGAGGTAGTGGTGGTGGAGGAGGACGTGGAGGTGGTGGTGATGGTGGTGATGACGGTGATGATGGTGGTATTGATGGTGGTTATAGATTTTGATGTTAGTGATTGAATCAGTCACTCTCTGGTTCTAGAACTGGTGGTTTATTGGCCAAAATTTTGAGTGTTGAGGTTCAACACTTATTAGGATAATTCCAACTGTAGCTTTAAGTTTGCCAAGGTGGGTGGTTACCGTACAGTGTGACCTCTTTCTGTCTCTCTCTCTTGCTTTAAAATAGGAATTGAAATGGCAGCATGTTCCTAATAGAACATACTGCTTGGAATTTGGTTCATCATTGCTATCTGTGGTTGGTTTAGGAAAATACTTGTAAGAACTGGTTACAAGTGGTTCTGCTTTCTGCATGGTTATCCTGGGCTGGGGTGTGGCCCCTCTCAGTGATCAAGAGGGGCTACCAGATTCCCAACATTTTTGGAGGACAAGTAGGGATATATATACATAGATAGATAGATAGATATACACATACACACATATATGTATAACTTATGCAGTTGTTTTTGATTGTTTTATTTTTAACAAATAGGTGTTTGCCTGGAGTTGTGATATCTATCTATCCATTTGGCTTTTGAGAGAAAATGTGCTCATTCCAATTTATTTTATGCCTAAAAAACTTGTAAAAAACTTTTAAAAGAAGATCAAGTTCAAAATGTATGGTTAATACCATTTCTTTCTTTGCTCTGATTATTTTTTTTTCAACTACTTTTCTAGATTCAAAACCCAAGTTATTTTGGTTAGCTGAATACTATGTCATCTTCATATCTAAATATCGCATGCATATCTATGTGTAGGTATAAAAGGTCTAACTTTTTAAAAAGTTTACTTAAAATTCTGTAGAAAAACATACAGCAGTAGACAGACCACCTAACATCCAGGTTTGATAACTACCAACTCCTATCTCCTCTTGTTTTTTCTATATTTCATCTACTCCCTCTCCCACATATGATCTCATCCACAAATACAGAAGTATTTGTGATGAATATATGAATAGAGTATATGAATCTCTAAACCATAATTACTCCAAAAAACCCCAGATCCCACCAAAACCCCCAAAGCAGTATTATCACACCTAAATAAATATATAAGTTTCCTAATATCAAATATCCTGTCAGTGTTTACATTTTAAGAGGCCCTTTTGTAAGGAAGCTGTAAATACATTTGTCAGATTAAAAACACACAATGGGAAATAAATATCATCGTATGTGTCTGGTTCTTTGGCAAAAGGTAGTTTTATTAGCTGTGTGCTATCACATTGTGTCCATGCTGGATGATCAGAACATATGTGTATAGTGATTGTTAAATTAAAACCTCTGGTGGTCCCCTGTATTCAGTTTGGAAGATTTATTGAACTATCACCAAGAAATGTAAGGGCTTATTGGGAACAGGCAACTAAACTGTGAGCTTGGACAAAAATGTGTGTTGCGGGAGTGTTCGTAAAAGTTAAAAATTATTGTAGATGCTAAGAGTTATCCTAAATACATAGTATGTTTTTGCGCCTTGTTTTTAGAAATGAAGTCAGTTGTCACCAGATGTCATTAGGGCTGCTGCTGATATGATATTGTGGAAAGAAACCAGAAATACTGGCTTGCGCAGCTAGGTTTATAGCTTGTGCCAGTTCAGAGCAATAGCTGGCAAATGGTGGAGTAGCTTACTTTGTGCATTACTGGACATATTATTTGACTTCATGATTTTGTTCTGAGCAGCTGATTTTGGACTTCCCTTTTAAAAAAAGAGGCTCCTAACTTATTATTTTGAAATGTGCTAATATAAATAGTTCAGTTCAACCGATTTTACTGATACTGGAGAAAAAATGATATACTTTCCTAATGAGAACTGTATTTTTATCTTGATTATTTTTTGCTGTTGTTGGATTCTTTTTGGAGATCATGAAAGCTTTAGAGGTAGTTTGACAGGTCTTGCATTTTGTAGGCAGTGAAACTGGCTGAGATATTTTCAAGATAGTTTCATATTCACAGGGACACTTGTCTTGAGTAATTGTGCCCCGAAGTTCAAGTGTGTGATTATGAAGAGCCTCATGATAGAAGATAAGAGGGTAGGTGAGGAGGCTAAAGTTGAACGTGGTGTTCTTTTCATTATGCAGTTGAGAAGCAGAGTTAACATTGGGATATGGTATATTGTTTGTTTGGATATTCTTTGAGTGACAAGATGAGAGCAAAAATCCCCAGATTTGATGTCTAGTTTTCTTGAAAAGTACCTTTTAGCAAACAAAGTATAAATGGGAATGTTAGGGGGGTCTTACTACCATCAGTGTGTCCTGATGTATCAGATAGTGTTGGCTTTCTGTTATTTGGGTTTCTTTTCTGTGTTGTCTCTATTAGGAAACCATGTGACTACCGTGGCTGAAAACTTGACTTTGCAAATCCGTTATTTTTCCTCCCCTCACTCCTCTTTTGTGCACTGGGTTCTTAGGGCAGCCTCCTTTTGTACAGCTGACCAAGGGAAGCTAAGATGAAATTTGTGGCGTTAGCAGAAAAGAGGCCAATTGGAGCTTTGTAGGCTTATGAAAGTAAAGGAAGACTCATTTCTAGTGGTTAGAGCATCAAACCAAGACTTTCATGCAGTCTTCACTTCCTGGCTCTATTTCAAGGCTTACCCCACACATCAGTAGTATAAGTGGGCTGTACAGAATTTGATGTGCTTATAACATGCCATGTTAATAGACTGTAACAATTTATTATGGTCAAATCACTTTTATTTAGTTGTTTAAAAAAACATTCGTTATGTTCCTTTTATCAGTCAGCAGATATTTAAGGAGTGCTTAATATGTGAAAGGCTCTATGAATATAGAGAAACCAAACATAAATCTAGCATTTTGGAAAAGCATGCTGTTTAGTTGATAAAGCCAGCACCTATAAAAATAATTTTGAAACAGGCACTTGAATGCCTAATATCAACTAAGTGCAATAGGCTTTTAGAGACAGGCTAGTGAGATAGGCTGAAGTGTTCAAGCAGGCTTCGTGGGTAAGATGGAACCTAGAAGGGTGACGTGATTTGGATATATGGTGAAGGAGTCTGGGCTGGGGTTGAATTCTAAAGGAATAGTGAAGTAGGCACAGTAACAAAATGCTATGTGGTTAGTACTTGGGGATAAGGAAGGACTGATGGAAATGAATACAAAGGTAAGTAAAGAGTGCTTGTTAGTGGGGCAGGAAACCTGTGGAGACCCACATTCTAGGCTTGGCCTGCCTAACTAATGTGGCCTTTGAAAGTTATCTTTCTAAGAGCATGATTTCTTTTATCCATCAGTGGAGACGTTTAAACTAGTTTAGAGCAAAGCTTCTCAAGCTGGAAGGGAACGCAGCTTTATAGGATGTTCATAAATGGTGTTCTAGA